ACTTTAATGCGAACAATTGTCTCCTTGCTCTTATTGCTGCTAGAATTGTTTTTTATTCGTATATTCAAAAATGACTACTAATAAATGAAAGCTTTTTAAAATCTCCTCATTCGTTCATTCATTACTACAACGCTACTATTAGTATCGCTTCTTCTCTTTCTTTCGCTTCGCTCTCCTCTTAATCTTTTCATGCATTTTCATTCATTTTCATTTTTTCTTTATAATGCTATCCATAAAATTATTTTTTCATCCTCATTTACGCTTATCTGCTTGTCAAATTCATATGCTGCTATATGAGCACATATGAATTTTAAATATCCACATTCTGTTGCTCCTTACTTACTTGACTGCCTTCTTTTGAAGAATTAATTTGTTATTTGCAATGATGTTGCACCGAACCCTTCACATCTCTTCATTCCTATTATCTGTTGAATAGTTTTAATAATTGAGCCGTACAATGAAGTTACCAAGATTTTAACTTGTACGATCGCTTTTATGCTGCAATCGGAACTCCTTGTCTGAAACAAAATTTCGAGATATTTTCTCACCAAAGAATTCGAAAGAAAACGCAACTGAATGAATGCATGTGAAGTTCCATCCGTTTAAATACGAGTTTGCATCAAAAGATTGAGGTTTTTTTTGCTTATCTTAGTATCGGTTGAATAGAAAAAATGATGCGATTGTTCTGCGTTGATAAGATCATAGCTAATGCCTGAATTTTCGACAGCAGCGCTTCAGTATTATCAACACAGGCTTCAAGTAACTCTGAAATAATCAAATATGAAGCATAGATCCAAGAAGTGGTGAGATTAGTTTAATTGCTGTTTAATTTTCGAGCGCATCTTTCTCGTGGTCGTGCGTTTTTTCACGGATCATCCTAAACCATGCAACTATCACATGCAACGGTCAAATGTGCCAATCGTTCATCTTATATCGTCATCTTATAAATGCAGTATTCACATCTTTCATGTTTACTTAAAGCGTTGTTCAGGATATCTATCGTTAAACATTTCGAAGGCATTGCGTTGCAATGACTGACTTGTCTACAATGTACTTGCGTTTCATTTGACATGATTGTAATCATAATAATTATCATTAAATACCATTTTCAGTTACTTTTATTGTAGTTAGTTATGGGTACGAAATTGAGCACTGGACAATCCATATACCTTCAATAGAATATTTAAAGGAACTGACACGGTACACCATGTCAGTTCCTTTAAATATTCTGTTGAAGGTATATGGATTGTAGAAACTCAAAATAACACCAGTTTTTGTGATCATTATTTCAAATGGTTCAGGTTTCCTTTGCTCCAGTGCTTATCATTTCTCCAAAATTGCTCAGAAACGAAGGATGAGATAAATTCGAGCTGTATAATTGCTCAGTTGCAAAGTGCATTTTATGCAATCTGGATTATGCTAGAATTACTCATATCGCATTCAGAAATTATCTTCTCCACATTTTAACGGTGTTTTTAACATAGATTCATCGATATCCATATCTGTTCATTGCGAACTACACATCCATCTTCTGTTTCGAATGTAACGACTTCTCAAAAAGTTGTCAGGTGATAAGCAAAAATTAATATATTATAGAATAGTGCAGCAAAGAACGGGACTGAAGAAACAGTCGAAAGAGACATAATTTTTTTGACAGTCTATTATAAGTTAAATTATAAGTTGTGAAGGCTTCGATCATAAAATTTCCTGTATGGAAACCTTCACAAAATACTTTCTGTGCGATAATCGGCGACATCTTTTTTTTAAAAATCTCGATCCAATGCAGCTGAAATTTTCTGCTCCATCGATTAAGTATTCATTTTCCAATGAATTGTACATATTGTTTATGTAGTCACAAAATGTGTTGTTAGGTCCTTTCGTTCATTTGTTTTTTTTTTCGATTTTTATTCGTGAACGCTCGATTCGGCTAGCTCAGCTGTATAGTTAAAATTACTAGTGGCGATCATTTTGAGTGCTCCATCTCCATATTCTCAACAGTATTCGATTTCAGTATTGCTGCTAAAGAAGTTTGTTGCACTGCATTCTCGTATTAATTCGTATCGTTTTCATTCAATTTTCTTGTACATATTCTACTGCCGTCTCATCGGAGCACTCTAACTATTCGTCTATGTTGACTTTTCGCTGACTGTCGTATGAACTTTGATTATTTCGATGTTTTTTATCGTTACTGTGCAGCTTCATTACAGTCATGTTTACGGTGGATTTTCATAGTGCTTATTGTAATTTCTGATTTTTGTTATTTTTGTGCTACAGTTATTCGTAATTAAAATTGAAAGAAAAGCGTAAAGAAGTATGATTTTTGTAATATGTTCTAGTTGAATGAATGAATATTAGTTGGATTGAACGCAGCCCCTTATTCTTCGAACGATCACCACTTAAAGTTACAATCTCACTTAAAGTTACAAGAACCATTGCACCTAAGAATGAGTGCTTGTTTCTCTACATGGAATGTTTTTTTGGTATTAAGGTGCTCAAAAGAACACATCCACTCACTCACACATCAGCATATGTATAGGAACGAACAGCGAAGTGATGTGTACTTTGTTAGTCAGGGTGTTTATTTGTTAGAAGCATTAACAGCCTGGCATAGATAGACACAAGCACAAGACCGGAAACGAACTTAATGCTTTTCGTGTGCAGCCAACATGAACACTTACTTTTCTTTATTAATCATACTAATGACAGTATTAATAATAACTGCTGTTGTCACCAATGCTTATTGTTTCCGCTTCGTTTTTGTTGTTGAATTATTTATTATCGATTAAACACACGAATGCCATCACAAAATACATCCACTGGCAACAACCTTATCGTAATTTCAGCAGTAGTCGCGGTATCTAATGAATGAACTCATTATCTATCTGGTTAATCATCATCGTTATTATTTTTTAAATTTCTGCTTGACTGCTATCAATAGTTATTATTATTCCTACCTTAGTCTGACCACTGCTATTACTGCTTCGGAGCTTGAGTTACCAGTCCCATCTCATCAATAACGTTATCAATGAACCTGAGAGATGCACTGCTGTTAACTTCCAGTATAACGGTGATTCTCCTCACATTCATAATTCATAATAATACCCTTCTGAAAGTATGCAGTCTCACTTCATAAGAAACACTTATTCGATACAGATGTACTGAAGCTATCAAATGTGATGATGATCAGTTAACAGTCTTTTGAGACCATTGCTGATGTGTTGAATCAGTGATATATGGTAGCAACAGGGTAGAGTTCTAATCTCACTTCTTTGTTAAATTATTCTGAAATTACAAGGCACTTTCTTTTGACACAAATTTGGTATACTTTTTTGAGGAATTACTTTACGACACCACTATTTTAAGCATAGTAAACAGAAAAAAACATTTTAGAAATTCTCGAGTGTTTTTACTGGTGTGATTTTAGATAGAATCTAGAATAAACATTGCTTTGAGATGCGATAAGCTTCAGTTCAAATGCCGATTCTCTTTGTGAAAAACTTGTATGGTTCCATTGTATGCACAATTCGTGTTCATAGAGTAGATGATAAAAAGCGTTTCTTTTGAAATAAGGTATAATTTGAGTGATCAGAACAAGTGCTGCTTCATTTTCATTTATGCAGCACATTTGATTTTGATAGTGTTTCAAATGAATGTTTGCTGTGCTGTTAGAGCAAGCGCATAAGTTGCTTCTTCTCTGATCGTTATTGCACCGGCAATGAGATTCGATGAAGTTGTTTTCAGCATTAGGCATTAACATGAGGGTCGTTTTAAATGAATAACTTTATTAATGATAAAAACTACTTATCATGTAACACACTTGAATCATTTCATCCTTTTATAAGGCCACCCATCAATCCTTCAATGAATTCATTGTCACTCATCCAGTAAATGATAGAAAAAACGCATCTGCACATGACTTTTTTGAAATTCTCTTGTAATCAAGTACATGTGATCATGTTCTTGAAATTGGAACTCTTCTTTTATTCTCAGCTAACGGTTATCCATCTGTTTATCGAAGTAAAGGAGGCCATATTGTTGCTTATTATAGCTATGTTTATCATTCACTACATTGCATATTTTAAAAGGAACGCTCAAAAATCAAAACGCCGCTCAAAAACAAACCCTTTTCATGATAACAGCCAAAAGTCCACGTCACCGTCTGTTCCATTCTTACTCTTTTATCATTGGTAATTATAAATTATTATCTGCTTTAACTGTCTAGCATCATCAAACTAATCGTTTACAGCTGCTGCTACCAGTAAAACAGTCAAGCCTCTCTCATTAAGGGTGCACGTTTATTCATCATGCATGATAATGTTTAAATGAAATAGTGATGACCTCTTTTAAGTGCTCTTATAAACGGATCAGAAAATAAAATTTGCGGTTCCATATTTATCACCGAAATATCCGTCTTTCAATAAATTTCCTATTGAATCTTGTGAAACTCCTATGAACTGGGCTTTCGTAAAGATCATCTCCCCCTCCCGAAAAAATTGCAAATTTCCTCCAGCTGTCAAGAATATTTCTAAATAGATGTTAGTTTCGAATTCCTCACCTCAGAATGCAGATGTTATTCATTTACATGTGATGACCCTCAACCAATATTCAACCTAGTTTATGGTGAAATTTGGGTTCTTGGGAGTTTGGGTTTTTTTTATTCCATCTCCTTTTCCCTTATTTTTGGTTTCCTTTTCTTCTTTCATCATCCTTGCCTCCTCCTGCTCATGCAAATTGTGCTCAGGTAACAAAAAATTAAACCCAACGGAGGAAAAAAGGGAACAAAACGAAATAGATATTAACACAATTCAAACAGTTAGGCTGATTTAGTTCATTGGACGATTGAAGTTGGTACTGTTGCGTGCACCACAAAGAATGCGAAATCGCTGTGGTTTGGTGCAGCAAAGAGTTGAAACAAGTTCAAATTGTTCTTATGAGGAAGGGAAGATAGCATATTGAAGAAGAACAAGACGCCATGAAAAGAAGGAGAAGTACCATTCTGAATGAGTGGAGGCGGTTGTTGTCATTATGTGGCAACGCATCATCACTTATTGAATCTCTTTTGGTGCTATCCTTTTGTGTCCGTATTAATGGCAGCAATGATGGTAAGTTAGTGATTAATTAGAAGAGCATTTAAATCATTTTTGATTTCATACAGGTACTGTACTATAACTTTTCATTTTTGATTCATTATTCTTCATATTTGATAGCAAGCATATTCTCCTTGATCACATAACCTCGTTTTTGTATAATTGAGTTAGTTCGTAGCCAACTGTGAAAGCATATACTGGTGGGTAGGTTCCTTCAAATCATCCACCTTTTGCTATCTCCCTTTTCGAATTCACCGTTATCTTAAATCACGAAAGTATTCGATGCTGTTATTAATTACTATCAAATCGGACACTATTCACTGCTTTCTTCAGACTGGATTTATCAGAGTTACATCCAAACTCTGTCATGTAAGTTCAGACTGTGTTATTCGTTTGATCACTGATTGCGATCAACATTGATTCTAGTTCCTTGACATTTGCTATAATCCGATCAAGTTTTTGTTGGATTCACGTCACGTATTATTAACTCTATGAAGCATTCTTTCACTCATGGCTCTGAATTGTGCCCAGATGAATCTAGCTCCCAATACTGGTGTCAAATACGAGCATTGTAGATGGTGCGAAGCTCATTGTGCGTCCAGATTCATCAACAGTGCCTGTCGACACGAGAGTGAGTTTCTTTTGTCGCGCCGATGGTAATCCCATGCCACCGGTTGTGTGGAAGCGAAATGGACAATCTTTATCTGATCCCAGGTACTTCTCCTTTGCTTTGTATCTTCTATATTCCCACAGCCAATCAGCGATCACTTCAAGATCAGTAACATTTGAAACCCATCAAGTTCAGTTGCGCAGCTTTTCATTTAGTGTTAATCTCTTGAAATTCATCATGACCTTATTCCTCTCTTGTTTTCAGTATATTTCGGAACATCGGTTTATCGCGTTACTGATCAATTCTATCTCTCCGATTACCCTATTGTTTATTAATTTTTGCGATGGAAATATACAACATTAATCAAATTTATTCCAACCCAATTCAGAATTTATTCGGTAAGATGCATAGCAAAAACCATATGTGATAGTGTACACATAAGACTGTGTAATCACTAATTCAAAATTGCATTGCGCTCATTAAGATATGTAACGAAGTCATTACCAAATGGTCTGAGTACATTACGCATTGAACCGGTGCGCTTAGCGGATGGTAACTCAACAATCAGTTGCTCAGCAGATAACGGTGTTGGCAGTCCTGTGGTTGCAGATGCACATTTAACAGTACTCCCTATTGGTACGGCTTTTAGTCCCTTTTTGATTACATTTCTTTTCTCATTTTCATCGAAGCGCTGCATCTGTTCCGTAGATCACAACGTTTCGTACATGTATCATTCACGATTCTTCTTACTATTTGTTTCGTTCGTTTGTTCCGTTTCTAATTCTTCAGAATGCAATTTGCTGTGTGCTTTTTGCTGCTGTCTCAGCTGAATGACATGCGAGAAATCGTTTGCTCGGCAGCAAAACGATTATTCCCATGTGGGTCGTGATTGATGTCTGGCTAGTGTTCAGAATTTGGACCCATCACCCCCTCCCCACACAAACATCCCTCGCGAGAGTTTAAGTCTTTAAGTAATCACAGCAACAAGTTTCCGTTCTCAGAGAATCACCTGCATCCGCGGGGCCACCGTAAATCGCAGGCAAGAAGACCAATAGTAATTCATCGTCATGGCTCATTTATCATTAAAAAATAAGTGTTGTAAGCAGTGATGCACAAACTCTGGAGCCAAAAAAATGCAACAACGGTCAGTAACTCAAGCTAAGACCTGCACGATAAGCTTTTTCCATAGCGAAGCAAATTTCGGAGTTGAAGACAGAACCACGGCCAGAAATTTGGAGGGTGCGGAACCAGAGCTGGAACTTGAGCCGGAATTTTAAATTTACTGAGCCGGAGGTGGAACTGGAGACGAATTTTCTAGAAAGGTTGAGCCAGAGCTGAGACTGGAGCTGAATTTTCAGCATTGCAGAGTCGGAGCTGAATGAATTGTCTCAAATTTGGGCATCACTGGTTCTAAGTCTTTATTAATACAATAATAGCAATGATGAAGAAAGAGCAGAACAGAACAAATATTCGACCAATAATACAAAGTCAATTCTGACTATCTGAGCAGTGGTTTGCCTACCCAATCCATATTTTATCTCACATCAATTCATTCAATATCACTGACTACTCCAAGTCGTTGGGTGCGATGATACATCTGAAAAATCCTCCTTCCGTGGGTGCATACGCGAGGATATGATTCGCGGTGGGGTTCTATTCTGAACATTTTATCTGGCGATGGCACATGCGAAATAAATTTATGTGCTATAATTGTAGCATATTTACACTATTTGTTCTCCCTATCAATCCACTTTTTAAAACTCCTGTCACATCTTGCATTGCTTTTGCAGAATCACTGCCTTCCGGTTTTCCAGTAATTGAAGCGCATCCGGTGCTGAAATCGGTTGAACAAGGACGTACAGCTCATGTCTCATGCCGTGTGAGGGGTGATCCTCGACCGAAGGTGTTATGGCTTCGCGACTTGATGCCAATCGATGTGCGTTCCAACAATCGCTATTCAGTTTCAACACTTGGCAATCCTGGTTAGCCTACATCCATCTATTTTTTCAAATAACCATTTCATATTACTTGATGTGTTAGTATCTAATATTGATACTCAAAAAGAGTTAATCAAATTAGACGTTTTTTACGAGGAAAGTTTTTCAAAGTGTTCCCATTTGATATGCTACATTTGTTAGCAATAAAAATGTCGTTAAGATGCTTGACTCTAACACTATGCGTTAATTGAACTTGTACCCTTCATGTTCGGTGGATACTTGTTCTGTGTATTACTTACTCTGACTTTCTATGTCCCGCCTGAACAATTCATTCCCTTTTCAAATTTTCCGTTGTTTATTTAAAGTACATATAATTCTGTTTTACATTTTTTTCGAAGCTGAAATAAATCTCAGTGCTGATCTTTTTCATTCCATCTAGGTATTGAACGATTTCATTCCCATTGATATCATCTTTGATCTGCACCTTTGAACTCAAAACAAAGAAATATTGCGCTTTTTTTTCAACTCGCAGAAACGAATGAATTCCTCAAAATAGTCCGTTCATGTGTTTTTGTTCAGTTTGGGTCTATAGTCTTTGGAAAAAGAGCACTAGAAAATATAATGAAAAGAGATTGATTCATTTCGGTCGTCTGTATCGCCCACGATCAGCTTTCAATGAAATTGAAATCAGAGGAATTAATACGATTGAACACTATAAATGATATTGTTATCACAAACTAAATTGTGTTTGACATTTAAATTTTCAACCACAGAAGCAAACGATTATTGTGGTCTCAAAAATAAAATCGGATCAGTGTTGAATGCTCTTTTTTGATACGTTGTAACAATGCTGCTTGCGAATGCGTCTGCCACAGATCACCAGTTGAAACGATGATCTTATCGAGAAACATAAGCATACGCTTAATGGAACTTCTCATCAAAGTGCTATAAGAAGCACTTTTGATATTTTGTCACAATTTTTTAAAAAAAATGTCAGAGGGCATTTTTAGGCATTTGAGTGGAAGCCGCATTTTATATTGACCTCTTCACCGTTAATTACACATATGATGCTTAGCATCAGTGGAGATGATAATTAATTTAAGATGCAAATAAAATGGTGATGATGCTGATTAAAACTAATCATAATATTTTTTGGCTTTCGTTTAACACTGAACAGGGGAAGAAGGATTGCTTGATCGAGTAAATTCAGAGGTAACTGATGGCGAAGCAGTTGGATCTTTAAGAGACCAACACTCGGAACCAACGGAAACTTGATATCTCGCATGATGTCTTCTATGAACATCTCTAGTCCCTTTCAGGGGCATCTTCAGCTTTGGGAAAAGCGAGAAGTTGTACGGAGAGTGAGCAAAGGCGTGTTGCGTTTGACCAGGAAACTCTGTATCAAATGTGAAGAATGGGGTACAAATTCCACTGAAATTCTGTTACAGCCCCTTCACAGTTGATTGAACGGGTCCAGTGTTTACGTGCACCTCATCTACAATTTCTCTGATCGTGACTCAACGATACTGCTCACAAATATTCAATGAACACGTTATTTCGAGTTGTTGAGGGCTTACCAGAGCTCGCTTTACTCTTCACTGATAAGCGGTTGTCTTTGGAAGAAAGAGTTTTACCTCTCTTTCATTTGTGTGTTGCCCATCGAAGCTCTATTAAATCCTCCGAATCGTATTCACTTGGCAATTGTCAGCTTCATATAAAATTTGAAGCAGCAACGTTTTTCAAGTTCTTCTGTTGAAAGCAAAAATCCGACGGTGCTCACTCTCACTTCTTCACTCGACACATATTGTCAACCGACAGCTTCTGCAGACGGGAAAGTGCATTGGAATCGTCCCATGTATGCGTATCGAGATACTTGCACGAAAGCATCCCCTCTTAGCTCTATTTATCAAATTAGAATCGAACTCTCTGAGTACACCTCGTATAAATGTTTAAAACTCATTTATACCTGACAGCATATGCGTTTTGAAGGATGAATTTTAGATTATCGACTTAAAGCAATCGGTAAGCGGGTATGCACTGTAGTAGAAAGAGAGAGAATTGATTGTGTGATTCATGTTGATTGATTGATTGATTGTCATATGTTGGTCATTATGTTGGTCATCACCCACTGAAACACAACTGATATTTGATTTGATTTCAGCAATTGACTATGCTGCTTCGTGCAAGCAATTAATTTTGTTGTGCACCTTAAATCTGATTTGATGGCGTTGTGAGATGCATTAACAGTTCAAGTCAGTTATCAATTGAAACTGCTTCGAAATTTCGAATAATTACAGTGAAATCACATTCAGTGTTTTTGTATGCCTAATTCGACGAGTATCAATTTTTTGCGCATTATTTTTGCATCTGAATCATTATCATTGAGATCAGTCCAAATGAAAGTTATCGTTTCTTTTCGTAGCCCGTATCTTGGAGCGCACATTGCACACGCACCTACTGAAACACAACTGATTGATGGAAGGGACTGCGTGCACAAATAAACCATTAGAGGAGCATAATACCTCGGTAGACTGCCGTCCGAAAGAATGATACCAACTTCATGATGACATAAGATATTCGAAAACTTGAGTTTGTGGTCTTCATGGGTCAATGAGCAGTTGACTATGAATAAAAGAGGTATAAGTTTGTAGATGGAACGACGCTGAATGTAATTAGTGTAACTGTACGTTAGGGCATTCAATGAATTTTGAAACTGGTTGGCGATTTGTTTCTCCATTCTGATCATTTATAACAAACGATGTAGTCGAGTCAAAATCATATCGAACGGAAGCAGTTGACTAATCAGCATGCGACCTTCAACGATTTCACACATTTCTTCTCTTTTGTTGTGTTCGATAGCTTAGTTCTTATCAGAATGATTGATTGATTATTGTTTATTTATTGTTGTTATGAGCAAATAATGAAGAATTGATTCATTATTCAGGATAGATTGCTTGTTATTGAATTGAAAATGGATTTTTTTTGTTCCGACAGAATTTTATTGTATTGTTTTCGGGTAGTACTTCACGATTTCAAAAGTACCAAGGGATACAGAAAGTTGCAATTTGCAATTTATTGAAGTTGCAGCAGAACATGTCGTTATCATTAGCAATTAATCGCCGGAATTCATTTCATTTTTGAAATCTCCTCAACATGTTATTCCATGCGCATCCAAAAATCGTTCAGCTTCAAATTCCACGTTTCAAAAGTATACTGACGGAAATGAGTTGAGAACATTTGTTGAACAAAAAGTTACAGTGAATTCTAAATTTGCATTCGTTTATTGCCCAACAACGGTCACATCAATTTATCGCTGCTCTATGAGCATGCTTCTTCACAACATAAGAGTCTGCACAAATCCACAACATTTTAAAGTATACTGTTGGATTGATTGTTCAGAAAGAATGCCAATGATCACAATTCACGCTGCTTTACTGCATCTGATCATTTATTTCTATCATATCACATTTCAACAAGCAATAATCGCATGTGATAACTTACTTCTCAATCTTTATTTTGCATTATTGCAGTACGTACGCATTGCACATTTCAGTTGTTGTTGCCTTTCAACTTGCTGCTATCATCTTGTTTACGATTGAGTATTCTTGATTGAATGGTCAACATGAGGTCATGTCAATATCTACATTTTAGGTGCACTTATGATTCAACAAGCCAGGGAAGAAGATCAAGGAAAATATGAATGTGTTGCACGTAATACCGCTGGTGTTATACACTCCAAAGCTGCTCATCTCTACGTTAAAGGTTACTTGCCGTTTTATCCGCCTTTTAAAAATGTGGCATTTTTTCAGTCGCTCCAAACTATTTTCAGAATGAAATATTTCTGCACTGTCATTGCCTATAGCACGATCATCCGTAAGCCTAAGGCATATGAACCTGTCATACTATAAGAGTTTCCATAATCCTATGATTGAAGGAAGAGTCATGAAAGTTGACCCACTTACTGATGGCGCATATACGTATCTTCTGTTCGATAGATTTTCGATGTAATATGCGATCGGAGCAGCAAAAACAGAGCAGCAAAACAAAAACAATGTTACAAATTGAAACAGCTTGAAAATACGTCTATTAAATTTCAATCAGGCATTCAGCTGACATATAAAAGTGCTAAATTGATTGAAAAAGCAACATAATTTTTCGAATACCCCTCAGGCAGCGTATTGATTAGTCTTCGTTCTAAGCCTAAACATGTATTCTGCCTTATAGGCTTGAACATGAACTAACTTTGATATTAATATCAAGGGAGGTGTTATAACCGAAAATATAGAAAATGTCTTTCCATGTTGAAGTTTTAAGAGTTCTGATGTTTATTACAATATTTCAAAAGTTACAATATTTCTACCATATTTATCCCAAAATTTTCCGGAATTTATAATGAGCTCTGCTGTTGATTAAGGTGTGAACCTCAGCTGTTCTCTTCGTTGTGGTTTCACTGACGGTCAGACTGAGCTATAAGTGGTGTTGCTAGGAAAATATGGAATGAATGTGATTTCGATGATTCAAACGGCATTCTTGACTCAGTCTCAGTGGTAATAGGTAATAATATGACGGCAAATTGAAGTGTGTGAGCTGTAATAACTGCTAACGAAACGAATCAGGGTGCGCTTAATCACATCATTAAATGAACGTCATCAAATCAAACGTCATCAGCCTATTTATATTGAGTCGATGTTGTAATTTCGAGATCTCAGCATCCCTCACTCTCTACAGACACACATTGAGTGACCTGCAATAATGTTGTAATTACGTATGCTAGATTTAGAGCACAGTAATGTTCTAATATTGGCGATATTCATTGGAATAGGCTCTCATCTTCAGTTCAGTATCTGAATTTGAATTAATTAAAGTGCCCATATAACTGTCCGGAGTCATTAGTTTGAGTTTTGTCGAAGTGAGCACCAACTATTAGCGCAGTCTCTAAGGAGAAACATATTCATAATTCTTCGTTAAAATTCAATTAAAATTACGCTCTCCCTTCACTCATGCGATGACATTTATGTGCACAGTGTGCTATGTCGAATTTGCTGTCTTCATTTTTGATCTACCCATTGCAAGTGCTGTATAGTATTTTATATTCGTTATTTTGAATATGCGTACCTACCGCAATCAATTCGAATATCTTATTTTAATAAGTAATTATGGCATTGATTAATACAATTTTAGTGCGTCGAGTACCTCCATATTTCTCCTATAAGCTCGAACGGCTCTATAAAGTGGGACCAGGTGGTGCAATCAACCTGACCTGTGTTGCAGTCGGCTATCCAATGCCACGTGTCTTCTGGAAGAAATCAGACGACACCTATTTGAATGACCCACAGACAGCACCCATAGGTATTTTATCGTATGTATTGTTTTCTTGGCTGAATCCAACAATATTTGGAGAATATGAAGAATCAGTTTTAAAATGAAATGTACACAATATCAGATGCTCGTGTCCTTTTAACGTTGCTACTTTTTTAAAGCGGTGAGAAACAGCGCAACCGCACTTCAGTTGTTTTGCTGAGCCACATTCAGTCATTTCATTAACCATTCTTTATTGGACATTATTAGTTCTAGGCTCCCAATCAGTAGTAAGCTCCCTCCTTCTTCCGTAGGATCGATTGTTGTAAGTCTTCTTCAGCAATCTGATATCCTTTCTATGAGTAATTTTAAAAGATACTCTTATACGGCTTAGAAAGTCGTGCTATGATTCTAAAATTGATCCATGTGATTTGATATTAAAAAACGCAGAATTTGAGCTCAATAATTCGACGAATGTAGGAGAAATTTTGAGCGATATTGTTTTCAGCATAACTTTCACAACTAGTTTCTGGGGGAAGCAACGATGTTTTTTCTTGTGTTGTTCTCGATTCGTTTTGTGATGAACCTGTTTAGTGATGGTGTCTAGTAAATTAATATACATTATTTCTCGAAAATTTTCATAAAGATATTATTGCGCACTTGTGTTTATTCACACAGCCCTTTCTTTTGCGTTGCGAGATGAAATTCAACTAGAAAACTTTCGACAATGCAGTGCGGCGGTTTTTAAACACATCAAATGTGACGTTGGCTGATCAGTGCAGATGTAACATGTGAATGTGATGACTTAATTGAATTCAGGTAAAAATGTTCTTACACTGACTCGAGTGGAACAAACGGAGAACTATACATGTATAGCAGTCAGCAAGTTGGGAAATATTGAAGCAACAACGATGGTTGAAGTTAGAGGTTTGACAAACCATTTAAATATTCGCTTTGATTTGTCGTTTATCTAGTTTTTCTATTATTGTTATATTTCATTCGTATGTGATTTTAATATCACTGTTGGTAGATGGGCTAATAATGTTCAGCGTTACCACCGGCACCGAGGAACTTGCGGATCATCGAGGTGACTGCAGATAGTGTGGCCATACGGTGGGATGAACTGATTCTTGAGAATGAACCGGTGAAGAGTTATTTGGTGCGATATCGACAAAAGTTAGTTTTATCGAGATGATTGTAATGGCTGATCGATTGATTCACTGCATAAAAGTTGACGATTCATTTCAAGTTCGAGTGTGTTCTGCTGATATCTGATCTGACACATGCTTGCTCATTTCTCAGTTTGCCATCGACACTTTGATGTGTTCTTCTCTTCTGATCGTTTCATTCCTTCCATCGCCACTTATCTATCAATCTTTGATCAATTGGTCATAGTTTTAGCTTATACAACAACCCTTCTAACTTATTCTATCAACAAATCAAACATGATTTAGGATGCAATTTCTGTATTTTTTCTCCATTTCGCCGGATAAAATTCATAAAATGTGGTAAAAAGAACAAGTAGTTAGCAATGAGTTGTGACGATTGCTTCATTTAATTCGATTCGAGGAGTATTTTTAAAACAAGTCACGCATGGGATACGCGTAACATGTATTAGTAACTGCTCTCACCCAAAGCTGTTGTTCCAACCTATTTTCCGCTCACAAACAATAATTTTAAAGTGTTTTTTCCACCTCACTGAACTCATGTTCATAGTTAGTTGCGTTGTGAACGATGCCATTATTCCAAACTTAACTTCGTCATCATCCAGTTTACAAACACCACTTCATTAAGCCTGATAAACTGCATCATTGTTCGCATTTCATGCCTGCGACGTCTTTATTTTTCTTCTATCATATTATCATTATCACATCACTGAGCAGTCTCTCTTCCTCGTTGATGAATCAGCATTTTCTTAAGCATGATATCTTCAACGCGAATGCTGCAGATTATTTTCTTCTAATGGCACGCCATTTGCAGTGTTTTCTTTTCGTTCATTTGACTACTTCATTATTTTTTCGTTTGATTATTTATTTGTCTAACAGCAACACGTAACACTTCATTCGTCCATTTATTTGCATCATCAGAGGTGACACTTCGGACTTTCGTTAATGAATTGACGTTAATTTTATTTCACGACAGTTAATTCTTAAATGAAATCACAAAAATAGTCGTTAGCACATATGAGTGAATATCATATGAAATAGCATGGTTTAACAACCGTTTTTTTTTTGATGTATGCTCTGCATATGCATATCCATGTTATTTGCTGCTTGTTAAAGCGAGCTAAGAGAGAGGGAAACAACAGGATTTGGTGCTGTTTATGTCCATTGAGCATTTCTGTTTAATAATTTGATAGCGTTTACGAAGCGCATACACGAAAGCACCACTGACACTGCTCAACGTCAGCGTGAGTTAAGCCTCAATCACAGCCTATGTTGGTACCCATGCAATCTTCAGCTAACTTGAAATTAAGCACATATAACTGGATATCAGAAAAAAGCTGAAGTGTAGCATGACAAAGCTTCATTACTTCCGAAGGCCACTGAAAAATTCAATCGATCACAACGCCGAAATCGAGAACGTTAACCGATCAACCGGTCAAAACATTGACTGTTCATTAACATGCAGACTGCAAATCAATAATAATCATCATCGGTAAGAAGCATCAGAGCGCAGATGGAAAAGTTCATTCATTTATTCATGTAGCGATATATAATTCGACACTACCTTTGCACATATTGCGCCTTCGTAAGGGGCAACCAATGGGGTGCATGATTTTTCGCCGCCGTCAATTTTATAAATTATGTAGTCTTAGGTGAACCTAAGCATCAACTTGGCTAAGCCGCAACCTGATCCCGCGGTAAGCCCTAGCCTAAACTTAAGCCTGGGTCAAGCCTCAGCATAAGCCTATGTCTCAGCCTACGTCTAAGTCTAAATCTAGGAACTAAGCCCTGATCCTCAGCTCAAGCCTGTTCGTAGTATGCTCTGAAATGTTTAATTGTATGGATCAAAAAGAACATCAACCTGGAAATGACTGCCGTCAGAGGGAGTGCCAGAAGAGTTTTACAAACTGATCAAAAGTTTAACTATCTGACAATAATAACTGGTCGACTTTTTAATCGGTCGACGTTTCGGCTAATCGATGTTTTCGCAGTGTTTGTGACGTTGACTTTGACCTTTTGGCAGTTGGCGTTTCTGAGTTGACGTTATGTGGCATCTTCAACGCAATGCGATTATAGGTAACGAGCAGCGATGTTTGCATTCAAGCAGAATCATTCTATTCTTATTATCCGTTTGTGTGCATAAGTAGGATGGGCAACGGCAATGTTTATGAATTATCCTAATTAATTAAATATTGCTCTTGCAATTGACTGAAATGATGCAGATGCACAAAGCATTGTAAGTACTGTAATGAATAAGCAGCAGCATTTGAAGGAATGTGTCGACTTCTCGCAGTCATTTTCCAATCAATCGCACCGAGTGAGTCACTTCAAGTATATATCTCTCACTTCAAGTATTCGTTCATTTACAGCTGATCTCATGCACAAATCCACTTTACACCCTCACTGATAATTTACTTAGTAGTTTTCATCTTTTATTTTGTTCTTCCAACTGATTTTTGTTAGCTGTTTTTGAATTTATTAAACATTGAGAAAAACATGAAAATTAGGCTCACTCTCCGATAAGAACATTCGGCTTAATAGTAATCTTCAATCTTTAATTCTTGTCTTGTTGCGCACCACTTTTTTCCAGTTTTCACGAAGCTTTTTTCACACATCATCCACACGTTAACATACATTTTTTGTTCCTTTCATTTGCAAGCAACCATTGCCATATTTGTCATCATCTTATTCATTAATTGTTACGTGCTCTCTTTTTCTTGAATCTCGTTTCGCCATATTACTCCTTCGAAGATGCTCATCAATTTCTTTTCAGTATGAACAGACGTTCTAATTTTATGAATTTGTCAAAATAAACTATGCTAATGCTTTGATTAATCTGAAAGTGGTAATTTTAGTAATCTCTTTTATCAACTTTTAATGATTTTAGCAATCAGCTCGCTTCTTATCATTTTCACTCTCAATTCGAGTTTTGAACTGATAGTGTTCAATAGTTGACTGCCTCAGTGTTCCATAGTTCGTTAGATGTGCTTGAAAGAGAACACTGACATTCCATTCTGATATTTTACAGTTGAATTCAGCATTTAACTTCATAACGGTTATCAGTATAATGATTGTTCATAGCCATCGTTGCCTTCAAAAACCGATTTTTAGTTATCGCTGTGAATATTCAGTGAATTATTCCCTCTCGTTCCTTGTCTCTTCCCATCATTTCGAATACTTACATTCCGGCATATCGAATTCTGCACAGTTGTATGAATCGTTGAATTCAAAAAACTAATTTGGTCCGAAAGAGTTGTTATAACGGAAATCTGAACTTTTCAGCATTATTTTCATCATTTAAATTTGCAGTGGGATGAAGCGGAATAATTTGGTTTTGTAAGTGACATATACTGTTGTTCATTTCGCGTAGTATTAATCAGTGCTTCAACGCTTAGGTGCTTCTAGAGCCGTTTTTATGCTGGTTATTTAGTTATGTGAAAGCATTTACACCTGCAAATTGGTAGTCGTATTGAAGCTGTATCACAATTCTTAAGAAAATTATATTTTGATAGTGCAGATAGTGTTGTTGATCATTATTTACGGTTTTCTCAACGTAATATATTACTACCATCGGGCTTTTTGCAGCTTTGTAGGCATTTAGCACTGATGCACATTGCATGATCTTTTTGTATGTCATCATCACAGTTTTCGCTTTTTATCATAGGTCTGAACGAACGACGATCTCATTAATATTGAAGCCTGCTGCTGCCTATGCTACTGCTTCCGAAACACTGTTTTTTAGCTCGGCCTTGATTATTCCAGTAATGCACCTTTTCGATCGCTCTTGTGCTGTAAGTTTTCGGAACGTTTAGTAGTAGTTTGCTGGATAATGTATACGAACAACCACCACACATTGAAGTTGAAACGTGAAAATAACTGAAGATAAGAACATTCTCAGAAAGGTGATGAAAAGAAGGAGCTATGCTGACTGCTTTGAATTCGTAGTGAATTGATTATAGTCTTAAGCCTCATCAATGTTAGTTGATTACTTTCACAGTTCTCCTCTAGGCCACTCACTTTTCACACGATCCATAGACGGAATCATTCGTCTACTTCATATATTTATGAAGTATGACATGCATCATCCTCACTTAGTTCTTTTTTCTTCCAAGCTTAAAATTCGTCCAGTATTCATTTATTTATTCGATTCTCCCTTAGTCCAGATGACACCGCTCATCAATTCACTGCTAACGAACAAATCTTTCAGATAGTGAAATAAGTCGTTTTCGGGACTACCTTAAAAAATCTCAAATATTGTCTTTACAAAATTGACTGAAAAGAAGAATAAAACATTTACGTTGTTCTTATACAAGTACATTGTTGTCAGCCCTATATGCTACCATTTTATGATCAATAATTCAATGGTAACATCAATATGAACATTATATTTTCATTGATGTCAAGATAAATTTCATAAAATGCCCAAATTTCTCTTGTCGATTGTGAATTTATGGATCGTCGACATCACTGTGATTATTTCATTGTTTTACAGCATCGCTACTAGTTTCATTAAATCTTTATGCGCGAGTTAACGGCAGTAACGCCATCTGAAGCGAACAGTACAACGAGGCTCGATTGGCGCTAACTCTTTTTCCGTATAATCAACAATAGTCCTTTGAACTTATTATGAATTTCGTTAACGAGTGAGCACGATCGTTAACCGCACTGAAATTAGTGCACTTATTCAGCAATAGCATTTATCCTGCAAAAATATTGTTGGCATGTTTTGAGGCTGATGATGATAAACTCAAAGTGATTTGGTTGACTATTACTGCATCAAAATAATTGAGAGTGCGTTAATGTTATTTATAGTAACTGTTGATCTCAGCACTACGAGCATGCGACTCACCTCACAACATCGCATCAGTCCTCACGTCACCTTCAACCTCTCACCTTTGCACTTATTCATGCGTTATTTGTTTCTGTTCAGTGTTTGTTACATCACTGAATTTTGTTCCTAAAATTCGCTTTAATTATTTTAAAAAACTTTAATTGCACAATGCCAATAGAAAGGTGGATTTCTAACCGTATGTCTATCGTGTGCTGATTGCATTTTGAATAAACTGATTTGAGAGATTAAGTCAGTCATTTTCAGATATGGTGAATCAAGTGCTTTCAAAGAGAAACAAGTGCCTGCAGAGGTGACGAATACGATTATTACAAATCTAGAGCCTTATCAGGTATGTGTACAGATTAGTAATGTTGCTATTGGCAAAATGTTCTATTCTGTCCTATTCTACTCTGTTCTGTTCTATTCTGTTCTGCCGTTTAAGCCGCTCTATTTCCGTTCCCTCAGTCAGAAAAATGGCAGGATAAAAGTTGTGGCAATTAGGATTGCAAGCGTGTTTTTTTGGCGGAAATAGTACAACACGGAGAAAAATTGGGGTGGGAGAAAATTGTCCTCCACGCAGGGAATCAAAGGTTTTGGTGGTGATAATTGGGAAAGAACGGAGTACTCCGGGTTTTGGTAGCCAGTATCTTTGAGGAACAGAGGCACTGTAACCTTAAACCTTTGGATGCAAATTCGTTATGACGAGTGGGAATTGGCCCCGCAATGCTGGATTTAAAACATTCCAGCAATGTAAACGACCCCATACGTGCTTGCCCAGCACCATTGGCAAGCTCAGCTGATCTCGAATGACACTTCGAGCACGGTTTGTCTCAACAGTTCAGTCTCAAACTGACGCGCAGTTTCCCACAGTGGTGAGTCTAGAATGAGCAGATTTGTTCAAGCCGACTCAATTCTTCAGAGTAAAACTTTTATTGGGGCATGAAATATAAATGATTTCTGTGATAGACTACTTCTAGAGCTCAAAGTATGATCAACAACTCAAAATAGGATCGCAATCAGAGTTGCATCTCTTAGTTATTTCCTGAGGGAATGTCTCACAGACAGCCTTTAGCAGATTTGAGAATCGACCACGATAACTATCCCTTGATGCAGTTGTTTCATCTCTCAATAATGGCCTTTCTTCTCTCACTAATTCTATCAAATATGGTGTTTTCTGTTGGATCCGAATCACTAACAACTATCACCACCGAATCACTTGAGAAATAATCCCCCCACCACCCTTGCAGGAGCCTCAAACATCCTTCGACGAAATAATAATAATCCATGGTTTGGCAAAAAAACCCATGAGATTATTTATGAATGTTTATTAGCGTTGTAAAACATCTTCCAAATCACTCAGTTGATAAGTTTTCGAATTTAAAACATTAAAAATTATCGTACGATTTGACTACTGCCATTATACTACGAGCAGTGTTTTAATGGAGTGGATGTAACTTAGTGTGTAACGTTGACTTAGCAAAAAGAATGAATGCAACAATAATAATAATGATAACGAAAATGACAATAATAATGATAATAATAATAATAATAATAATAATAATAATAATAATAATAATAAAATAGTAATAAAATTATATTGACAAGTAATAAAAGAAATAGCAATGATAATAGATAATGATAATAATAACAGCAGCAATAATACTACCATGATAGCACATCTCATAATCACTGCAATACTTCACAGAGAACAGTTGAAAGAACAGCCAAAATCGGTTCTATTCCGACCTACTCTGTTCTGTGCGTCTTTTTTTTCGGAACTGTTTTATTCTATTCTGTGGAATAGAACAGGAATAGAGCATTTTAACTGGAACAGAAACATCACTAGTGTAGATCATCGAAAATTGCATTTACTATTAAGTATTCAAGAGTCAATTTATCAACTGAGTGACACTTCGATCATTCGTACATGTTGATGAAGCAGAAACAATTGAATGCCATTCTAGAAAATCGAAAGCTTATTTTCGATCACATCTAAGATCTCAAGATGTCGCTGTCACAATTTCAGTTGTATGAGATTTCGGTTTTGGCTGTGAATGCTATTGGAAAAGGTACGGCGACTATGCCGAAGGAGGTACAAACAGGTGAATTAGCACCGAGTAGTCCTCCACAAAAGGTTCAAGCAAGAGCTCTTAATCGCAACTCGATTCTCGTTCGTTGGGATCCACCCGAAAAACCGAATGGTCTTATTCTGGTGGGTGCGATTATGCCGTATAATTCTCCTTTTCTTTATCTTTTTCTTGCCTTTTCGACAGTCCGTACTCCTTCACTTACGAAATTCTTCCTTGATTTTGACTGATTTCAGTTTGATGTTAAAACAAATTTATCTGTCGATAAGGTAGTTATTTGCTATGAATTTGAATGCTTCAATTTCTAGGGATATAAAATTTACTACACAAATTTGGAGGTTTCTACACCATATCCTCTTTGGAAAATGGTAAGTGCTTCAAATTAATTGTTGGTGTTCTAGAGTTGAAGTGGATACATACTTTTCAACGAATATGCATAGGTTGATTGGTTTGTTCGCTGCTAATACCAGCTTTAATTGTTTATTGGAACCGAAAAAGTTTTTTGTGCAATACGACAACAGATACTATCGAGATCAATAGTTCTTCATTCAATTAGAATAGGCAATCTTGCGAGCCATGATTATTGTTATGTCAGTACTGTTAAAATAAGCACTCGTGTTTCAAATTCATATTCAAACTTTACGCTTTTGGCATTAATCAATTATTTATCCTCATGAGATTGGACACTTGTTTCGATCAACAATCAAACTGATAGCGTCGTTCGCCTTCAATGCAAGTTTTTAGATTGATCATTCTGATGTAAGCAAAGAAGCAGTGCTTGAAAGAAATATTAACTACACATAGATCCATTGGTTCAGTTGACGTGTCAATTTGTATGGCTCCTGTTCCTAGAAATTTATTAACCGTTCAGCAAGAAGTAAAAGCCGATGAAATGATCACCACGCTGTATAATTTGGAAACGGAACGAACATATTACATCCATGTGCAAGCAAGGAATTCGAAAGGACTCAGCCCGATGTCTCAACTTGTTACCGTTATCACGAAACACGGCAGTATGTGGCTTTTCTTTTAATCCTCCGTTTAATTCATCTTCCTTTGGAAACGGTGAATCGCACTTAAGCAAATTCGTGCTAATCGCTTCTTCATTCACGTCTTCAGAATAAGCATTGAAAGTTATTTTGTTGAAGCTTTAATATTTGTCACTTTCAGTCCCAGGTCAGCCGTCCGGTTTGTCAGCGAGGGCTTTGGATTCGAAACGAGTTCAGTTAAGTTGGGAAAAACCATTGCATTCGTTCAACATTGTGGGATATTCGATACGTTTCAATTCATCAACAGGTATTGGCAAGGAGCTCACGTTAACGTCACCAATCGAGAAGCATATCATTGATGGTCTTGAACCGAACACCCTCTACTCATTTAGGTCAGTATTCATCAATCATTGCACTCGGCTTTTTTTAGATTACTTGAGTTTAGTGCATCAGCTAGACGTTATTGCAGAGTAGCAGCTCAGTCAGCCAGAGGACTTGGTGCGTATTGTGAAGAAGTGAACGTGAGGACTAATCAAAGCGGTAGTATTTCTTTTAAACTTATTCTCTTCTTCTGTTCGAAAACCTTGTCAAAAATTCCCACTTTATGACTGAAAGTAGCCACTCGTTCTGTCTTACGTCTATCATCAGTTCGCTTCATTTTTATTTACTGTAGTAAAATATTCTTGTTTTCCTGATTTGTAAGTTACCTTCGCAGAATGTTTTAGTTAAGGCAATACTTCCTCAGAATAGCTTGATTGTGTTGTTTTTCATTGCTCAAAGCTTAAAAACTAGAAGAGCAAATTCTTGGACAGCAGCTCACTGAAATACGAGTTGCTGTTTCTTGTCACAAGAAATGAATGAAGCCCACAATTGGAGTTGTACTGAATTTGTTTTGTATTGAAAAGTTTCGATGTCTTGCTGTGTTGTGTTGTGAAATTTTTCTGTCGTTTATTTTGTCAGTTGGTTATAGTGTCAACGGGATTCAGTTTATATTGTCAGTAATTTATTGATGTTGTTCAGTGGTGTGTTTTATTGTTGGATTGTTTAGTGCCAACCGGTGCACCAAAAATCGTTGATATTGAATCGGTGTCTTCAAAAGCATTGATGCTCAAATGGGAACCACCAGCAGAAGAGCAACGAAATGGTGCACTTATAAACTATGCAATTCGATGGCGGCTTGTTGATACATCGAACGAGAATATCTCATCAACGTTTCATTCATCAAGTGAAGAATTTGTTGATGATAATCAATGGGAGGAGTTGATACGAAGCGCTGATCAAGAAACACAAGCGCGTATTGATGGTCTTGATCCGTTTACGATTTATGAAGTGAGTGTGGCGGCTGGAACCGAGAAAGGGTTTGGACCGAGCAGTGAAACTGTTCGGAGGCGTACAGCTGAAGATGGTAAGTGGTTGGTTTAGTTTGCATGCTCATCAATCATAACTCATCCCTCTTAATTCAGTGAGCAATGTATATAGTCTCAGTCTAGCATCTAGCAAAGAGCTGTAGGTGTTCAGCGTTGTTTTGATCCATTTCTCTGATCGAATCGTCATTAACGAAATCCATATTACTCGTTATTGTGTGTTGTTTAACACAAGCAGTACCGCCTCGACATTCTGAACTCTGCACATGCATGTTGCTATCGCCTTATTATTGTTCTCAACTTTGAAGCAGATTTCAGTCAACTTTTTTTATGTTCAGTTTTTGCACTTAATTTCTTTGGAAGAAGCCTTCTGTTCAACTTCCTATTATGAGAGCTTCTGTCTCTTGTCTCAGTCCCGTTATAATCCCTTACGATATTCCAACAAACGTAAAATTTATCGCATTATTTATGTACAAGATTTTGAGCGTTGTGAATTTCGAAATTTCATAGAATTTCTTGCCATTTCGGCTATTTGTCCAACCATTAACATATTGCATCTGTATGACTGTTAAAGAATTTTTATGTGTCTGCCATATTTGTTTAATAGATACTTTAAATTTAGATAGTCAGGTTCGAAATGCTCCAGGTGAGTTAAAAACAATTTCATTAAGCTTTCGTTGCTGTTGTGAAGTTTCCTGAATAGTACTTCTTTGTTTCTGATGTACATTTCAGTTCAAACTTGCTAGATATAGAATGCGGAATATGTAGTTTTTGGCATATTCAGTAGTGATTTGTGATGATTTTTGTTTATATTCTCGTTGTTTTTATCGTATCCGCATGTAATTGTTTCATGTAAATTTTTTGAATGCCATTTCCTTTTGTGCATTTTTGGGCAGTTTATGTGTCACTTCACCACTTTATTTGTATATTCATACAAATAATCTATCTGTCCATTTTCCTCATGAGCCATATTCCTGAAAATTGCTGACTTTTGTGATGAATAACTGAAACATACTTCTTTGCTCAGTATTGCGGTAGTAAATAATTACGATAATTGTTGTCATTCTTCCAGAGTAAAAAAGTGGTGGGGGTGTTGTTAATATTGGGGTTAATTGAGAATTGTTGTAAAATAGTGATAATAATGAGTTATGTATACATGAACATATGCGAATAATCTATATCCATTCATATACAAATAAATAAATGTGTACATAATAATTATGCAAACATGATAATTGCTACATAAGAAATAAGGGAGGGATATGATTATGAACAACACCCTTACGTACTAATTGAATTAGGCTTGACCCGTTGGTTGTGTCCTCGAGATGATGTTGTCTTCTATTTGGACGTTTGCTCTGCATTCGAGCACGCTCATCTCAGCAGCATCATTACATCGTTTCGCTTCAACAAAACCATTCATTTACCCTCCCTCCTCGTTAATATTCTTAAGAGTGTTCCCAACCATTTTTCCTTTCACGTTTTCTCCCATTCAGAAACATGCCATCAATTGAAGCTTATGAATATTCTAGATTTCTCTTCTCGTAACCTTTTGATATGCACATCTTCGAGTGCACAGCATCACTCAGAGTCCGCTATCAGTTTATAATTTCATTCGTTTCTATTTATAAAATGTTTCTCGCAGTCTGTGAAAAGTATGGATATATGCATATCCACCGTCCATTTCCATCATGTGATTGCTGAATTTTCAAATTTTTTATCAAGCATACTCTACATTGTGATGTACAATAAGTACAATATATCCCTCTTTCAAGCGCTTATAGTTTATACACTGTTTTTTTTGCTGCCAATACGATCAATTTTGCAAGTCGGACTTTACAAATAGAACGAAATTTTATACGAAGGAGGACTGTCTGAGTGTTGCCTCGGTATTCCATTAGGCGATAGTAATAAGTACAAAACGGTTGTTTGCAAAAATGTTATTTTCATTGAGTGACTGAAGCAATGATACTCTCAGCTGATGATGTTCGTATTTTTTGTAGTAAGTTGCCAGAGTTGCAGAGATAATGATTGAAACAGTGGCATTGAATTCACCAGCAGTTAGTTCATTCGTGTGTGATACGCGAACATTCGAATGAGAGAGTGTGCATATTGGATAAGTGGGTAGAATGTGACAAATGATTTGTGTTCACTTGTAAAATTCGTGTGATTTATCATGTGTTCGAATTAACGCGTACTTCTTCAATCAATCTTCTTCGCATTCCATTGACTTTATTCAGAAACAACGATTGGCAAGTAATGTTCATTCAGCAACGCATGAAATTTACATAATATCCTCGTTCATTCACTCTGTCAAATCACTGATTTATCTTTTTGTTTCTTATTTGTCTTTAAAATGCTGGATGATAGTGATGCTGCAGTTGGATTAAATTATTCGCCTTAGTAATCTCAGTTGGTGGTATTCAATGATTGATTCGATTAAATGATGTTAATGGTTTAGATGTTGATATTTTTCGAAGAAAAACTCATTCGGATTTCGAAAGTAGTGTTCAGATAACCACTTACCAAGTTGTTCGTGAAATCTGAGCAGCTGGCCCTAAGAGGACTGCAGAGATTTATTTAAGGCAGAAAAATAGTCAAACAAATATGCAAAAGTTCACCGTTCTAGACGGATAATGTGCAAATGATTGTTCTATCAGGTGTTGCTGATGCAATTGAAATTGAGTTGTTTCATGCGAATTTAGTAATGTAGAATGGAAGAAGTATCAAGTAACGAATTTTGCTGTACTGCGCCATGTCGCATAACAAAAGCAATAGTAAGCATGAATCAGAATGACGACAATGGCAGTCTCTTATTATAGTTATTTGATGTAATAATGCATAGGCTAAATCAGTGTTTCGTTTGGAAGTAATAGTAATGCGATTGTCAGCAGCATTTCGTGAAGGCAGTTCAAACTCATGAGGCGATTGCTTCTGTTTGGCTGGTTTTGTATTTGCGTAAAAGCATGGAATTGAGCAGCGAGATCATACGATTAAGAATTTAATCGAGAAAAGGTGGGTGATGGTCATTATGAGCTACTAGCAACACCACGGGGGGTATGGACATATTTACAACAACCTATGATTAGCAACATGACCAAAAATAATGTTAATTATGATACCAGCAATAATAAACGCGAATATCGAACCAAATCATTTCATTGACTTATTCTGTTTATAACGGTTATGCGTATTTCTACCATTTGTTCCTCATAATGATTTATTTGCCATATCTTATTGTGTATGTGTATTTTTATTAAGTTGTTATCTTTAATGATGATTTCCAGATTCTTCCCGACAAAAAGTTGGAAATCCCTTATCCCCCAGCCTCAACCTAGATCCCCTTCTCCAAAGAAAATATCATTCCTTTACACCCTTACTTCATGCACAAATCCAAGATTTTCTATCAGAAATACGCTTGAAGTGGCTTTTTAAACTAATTTAAATGAGTGTTGATGGAACAGTTAAGTTACCTTATTTCCATATTTTTTTGTGTTTACAACAATCTTTTTTTGCTTCGTCAAAATCTTGATCGGTTACATTTCTCGCCTTGAATGGATCGGTAACTTCCCTTGAAAAATATTTAAGAAATTGCATCAGCCAGGTCCTTAATTCACGACATGAAGTAATACATATTAGCTAATTATTCGTGTTTCACCCTAGCTTCATTTTGCATTCTGCAAACACCAGATTCATTGAGCAATCGCTGTTGAGCTTAATTTTGTTGGTTGAGTGCAGATCGGTAACGGTAAATGATTGCAGTTACTTGCATACTCCTCATTTGTGATAGCAGGACAAAAGCATAGCATAATTTAGAGAATTGTCGAACTGATTGCCACCAACTTTATTTGTCTGCAAACTTGTACCGTCGAGAAGAAATGCGTTATATTGATGGGAAAAATTATCATTAAGTCAGTTGTGCGTTCAAAATATCCATTTGACATTTCTCTGTAAATGTTGTTCTTCAGCAAATTGTAAGTCGTAAGAGTTCTGAAGTAGCAACGGCAGCAGTTATTTGAGTGCACCTCATCTGCATACCATTTTCTGCGGGCATTTCTTGAGGTATCCGTTTTCAATTGCACCGAGCAACTTTGAATGACAGTCATTGTTGATTTTAAAAGTGCTGCTTACTTACGAAAATAACGAATCTCAATCTGTTCGATTTCCCAGCCTTAGATTGTCGATTGTACATCGATCGAATTTCCGTTCGTTTGTTTTGTGAATGAAATTAATTTAGCACAAACAACGCTGCTGCTGCTGCTGCTGCTGCTTCACGGATATTCTAATAGCTCAATTACGATTGTTTGGAATACGACTCGGCGCACGATTCCGTTTCAATTATCACGCCAGTATCTTCTTTCGTCTTCTCACCATTCAATTTCGAATTCAATTTCGTCTCGGAAAGTGTCGCTCAATTGCGTAATCAAGTCATTTTGAATCTACTAACATCATCGATACGAAAACTCAGAGCACCTTCCGTTTTTACGAGTATTTGCAGTGTTCAAAAAACAATGTTGTCAACTATAACTACAGAAGAAATACTTATACAGTTTACGGATCAGTGCTTAAACAGCAATTCCTTAGATGAAGAAAAAATCATTATTTCGAGAGAAATGCATAATTGATCTTCTTTTATTTCATCTTTTCTCCTTATGAAGACGAATGATCATAATTTGAATATTGCCGTTTCAAGAGATCGATCAAAGCATAAAATTGTTACGATGAGAGCATTCAGATGACCTTTATGAAGGCCTTGACAAGTGTTTAATCGATATGATTGTTTGTTGTGAATATGCATTGAACCACACAAATCCAGTCATTCAACCAAAAGCTTCAAAGCCGCCGACAAACTGCATCACATTTTCTTCATCATTAAACCACAATGCAAACAAATAATTCACACTTTCATCACCCAATCAATAAAGGTCAACAAGTGTTCACGAGGATCGCTTAAAATCCGTTTAAATACTATACGCCTCATTTTTCTTACTTGTATGTATTTTATTAACTCATCAGTAACTTTACTTTATTCCATAACTTAACACTTTCGCACTTATG